TAGCTAATTGTTTTTTGGAAGTCAAAGTACCGAATGGTCCCAGAACATCCAGATAATGCACCCCTTTAAGCCATCTGTCTAAGGGTAAGACTGGGATTTACACATATACAAAGCCCTTTTTTATTTTTTGGGCGAGTCAAGTTAACAAATATACCGCATTTTAGCGAAAAACTTGACAGATTTCAAAATGGCCATGAAGCGGCATCTTGGAATATTATTTTAAATGGATTGGGGAATTTCTAAAAAGATCTTTATAAGTACTTCATAACAATGAAGTAGGAAATCAATATCTTTCAAAATGGCGGACTTGAATCGCCTATGTCTCAACAACCAATCATCGAAACCGTATTACTATACTATACTAAGTGACATATAAATCCGAACACCCAGTTTAAATGGTTTTATTTTAATAAAAGTTGGTGAATTATTTATCTTACTGTAAATAACAAGTGAAAAAATTTTCAGCCTTATCAGTTGGACATTCCGGTTTTTATACTGCTTTTTTTTAATTCACTAACGCTCTAAAAATGAATATTTCAGCCGCAGTAAAGAATCAACTTTTATCGGATTTTGGTTCTTGACATCCTTTACGATCGGTTACGATGCCTAGAGTACGGAGACCTGTACGATTTCGTCAACTTAGTGAGTTTGATAGGGGCCGTATTGTGGGACTTCGGGAAGCTGGACTTTCTTTTCGGGCAATTGCAGTTAGAGCGCCAAGAAGTTAGTGTAGACATTGTGGTTAGGTGTTGTCAGGCATGGCTTCGAGAAGGCCGTACGCAAAGAGCAAGGGGCACTGGACGTCGCCGTAGAACAACAAACCCTGAAGATAGCCGCCTAAGATTATTGGCCTTAAGGGACCGTTTCTCCACTACCAGGTCCATTGCAAATGAATGGTTTGCAGAACACGGAAGACCTATTGGCATGCGAAGTGTTTACCGACAAATGAGAAGTTTTGGCTTGTTTTCATACCGGCCACACTGGGTCCTCCCTTTAACTCGAGAACACCGACGTAATCGCCTTGAGTGGTGCAGACAACGGTCACTCTGGGATCAGGAATGGAACAGTATTGTCTTTAGTGACGAGTCTCGATTTTGTTTAGGCATGCACGATGGTCGCGCCAGGGTTAGAAGGCGACGTGGTGAAAGGAGGAATCCACAGTTTTTTGTTGAAAGACATGTTCATCACACTGTTGGAGTAATGGTTTGGGGTGCTATATGGTTCCAGGTAACCTTTAATCTTCATCAGAGGTAACATGAACGCGCACCGTTATATCCACGAAGTTCTAGAACCCCATATTTTACCCTATCTTGACACCCTGGCAGATCCAACTTTCCAACAAGATAATGCCCGACCACATATTGCAAGAATGGCCACCAAGATCTCCCGACTTATCCCCAATTGAGCACGTGTGGGATATGATGGGTAGGAGATTGCTCAATTTGCAACGTCCTCCTCAGACTGTAGAAGCACTTCGAGAGGAGTTGGTGGTTGCCTGGAATGAGATACCACAGGAGGACATTTACCACCTGATCAGAAGCATGCCTAGGCGCGTCGGAGAATGCGTAGCACATCAGGGTGCATCCACACATTATTAAAGGTCAAAGGGCTTTAAAGCAGCGCAATCACTTTGAAATTTTTATCATTTACTTATTAAGCTTCATTAAGTACTTATACAAAATTTTATTTAAATAAAACCATTTAAACTGGGTGTTCGGATTTATATGTCACTTAGTATATTATGACATACTTGTCTTGTCAATCTTCCTTTTTTGGAACGATTATATACAAAAATACAGCACATTCGTTTAAAAAGTGTTAGAATCAGCTATTTTTCCAACGGAATGTCCCATCTTGTATCACACATTCAAATAATTCTTTCTGCATTTTGTTGATTAGTTGCTCAGTTATGATAAGTGCTTCAACGTACTAAAACGCCTAATTTTGGCAGGCCTTCAGTCCGCCATTTTGAATAATTCAGCTTTTAAATGGTGTCATATGACCCCCATCCTAACTAAAAAAACACGTTCTAACGTGTCGCCCAGCCACCATCTTGAAATTTTTAGCTGACTCATTTAATACACGAGGAACAATACAGAACTCAGTATAAATAATAATAGCAACGGATCATTTTCCATAACGGGATTTAACAGCCCTGAAAATAACTCAAATTTAAGTTGACCGTATCTATGCAATATTTGCGTTTAAATCCTTCAAAACATTCGTATATTCTTTATTTTTATTTTAGTACTTGTCTATTATCCAAAAGCCCAAGCTGCACATTTTATAATTTCTTAAATCGCCCAGTGTCGAATACTCAGGTTATTTTTCTTGTGACCAAAACACAAGACTTGCTACACCAAATCTACAGTGCTTTTCAAAAACATATCCCCCTTTCTTATTTTTTTATCAGAAATAAATGAAACTGACATATACAACATGCTACAACGTTTTCACGATTAGTTGTTGAGTTATGTGCGACTCAAGATACAAAAACGCCCATTTGAAAAAATGTTCCAAATGAACGCCCAGCCGCCATCTTGCAATCTCAAACGAGAATTCATGCTATTCATGTATTAACTTCATTACACCGAATATTTGTTTGCTAATTTGACCCGTTCAAAAAATAAGTAGACACACGACTGTGTTGAAAATATTTCTCAATCAGCATACTAGGTTCCAAGGGCAAATGTAGGAGACATATACTAGGTGCCATATAAATCCGAACACCCAGTTTAAATGGTTTTATTTTAATAAAATTTTGTATACGTACTTAATGAAGCATAATAAGTAAATGATAAAAGTTTCAAAATGATTGCACTGCTTTAAAGCCCTTTGACCTTTAATAATGTGTGGATGCACCCTGATGTGCTACGCATTCTCCAACGCGCCTAGGCATGCTTTTGATCAGGTGGTCAATGTCCTCCTGTGGTATCTCATTCCAGGCAACCACCAACTCCTCTCGAAGTGCTTCTAGAGTCTGAGGAGGACGTTACAAATTGAGCAATCTCCTACCCATCATATCCCACACGTGCTCAATTGGGGATAAGTCGGGAGATCTTGATGGCCATGGTAACAATGTGACATCATTATGTTGAAAGAAGTCTATTGTGACTCTTGCAACATGTGGTCGGGCATTATCTTGTTGGAAAGTTGGATCTGCCAGGGTGTCAAGATAGGGTAAAAGATGGGGTTCTAGAACTTCGTGGATATAATGCTGCGCGTTCATGTTACCTCTGATGAAGATTAAAGGTGACCTGAAACCATAAGCTATAGCACCCCAAACCATAACTCCAGTGTGATGAACATGTCTTTCAACAAAAAACTGTGGATTCCTCCTTTCACCACGTCGCCTTCTAACCATGGCACGACAATTGTGCATGCCTAAACAAAATCGAGACTCGTCACTAAAGACAATACTGTTCCATTCCTGATCCCAGAGTGACCGTTGTCTGCACCACTCAAGGCGATTACGTCGGTGTTCTCGAGTTAAAGGGAGGACCCAGTGTGGCCGGTATGAAAACAAGCCAAAACTTCTCATTCGTCGGTAAACACTTCGCATGCCAATAGGTCTTCCGTGTTCTGCAAACCATTCATTTGCAATGGACCTGGTAGTGGAGAAACGATCCCTCAAGGCCAATAATCTAAGGCGGCGATCTTCACGGTCTGTTGTTCTACGGCGGCGTCCAGTTGCTCTTTGCGTACGGCCTTCTCGAAGCCATGCCTGACAACACCTAACCACAGTGTCTACACTTCTTTGCACTCTAACTGCTGCAATTGCCCGAAAAGAAAGTCCAGCTACCCGAAGTCCCACTATACGGCCCCTATCAAACTCACTAAGTTGACGAAATCGTACAGGTCTCCGTACTCTAGGCATCGTAACCGATCGTAAAGGATGTCAAGAACCAAAATCCGCCAACGTTGATTCTTTACTGCGGCTGAAATATTCATTTTTAGAGCGTTAATGAATTAAAGAAAAGCAGTATAAAAACCGGAATGTCCAACTGATAAGGCTGAAAATTTTTTCACTTGTTATTTACAGTAAGATAAATACATTCACCAACTTTTATTAAAATAAAGCCATTTAAACTGGGTGTTCGGATTTATAAATCACTTAGTATATTATCAAAATATTCATTGTTAATATTTTAAACCTATAACATCCTGCTACATTTTTATTATTTGTGTTTGATAAGAAAAAAAACTAAGATTTCAATAGTTGGGCCAACTGAAGTGGGAAGGGGCTCGTATATCAAGCCGTTTGAGCTGTAGCCTATAAAATAGGAATTATAACGCCGGCTCCACACGTTGGCCCCAACGCCACTCGCCCAACGTGTGTATCTAGAAAGTAGCGTTGGCCCCAACGTTGGAGCGACCGTTGGTAGTTGGCTGTCGATTGTCGGTTTTATCATTTTCTAGACACACACGTTGGGCGAGTAGCGTTGGGGCTAACGTTGGGGCCAACGTGTGGAGCCGGCGTAAGGTTGAAATCTTTTATTAAAATTCACCATTTTGTTTTGTATGAGAATTTAATGTAGCCAGTGACACTCGCGCCGCTGTGGAAATCCGTTCAGCTGTTTTCCCTGTATGTGAGAATATGCACGTTATCTATACCAATCCAAAAGAGAATCACTCGGATAGCGGAGCATCCGGCTTTGACCAAGAGCTATGTACGTATTGTAAGTCTTTTATCCAAAAAAAATGAAGCTCAAATATTGCCACTTCTCAGCGATTACCGCTAGTGCCCGTCGAAGAAATACAGTACCGATAATTTGAAATGAATAACTTGACCCAGCACTTGTGCAGAGTGACCTACCGCACGATGAAGTAACATTTATTTGAAGCTGACCAAAGCGCGCCGATGACCGCTGACACCAATACCGTCTGAACGCTGACCCTGCGAGTCCAACCCTGTAGCGGCACACGTGAACTTTCATCCACAATGCCAAAATGAAGACGCTACATAGAAGGGGGAGTAAATGTCAGTACTGTGCTTAGGAGAGATAGTAAGCTGTGTGTAGTACAGGGACATATAAAAGAGATGCTTTGTTACCTCACTCATCCAGTATCGTTAAACTTATTTCTTTACACTAGACACAAATTTTCAAAAAAAAAACCATCAAGATGAAAACGGTGAGTGGTTTGCGAGAACACTGCGGATTTTGAGTGAAGTGATGGATTTTGTGAAGTGCATGTTGGATTAAAAATGGCTCAGCTGGTTTTTCGAAAAATTTTGCAGTTCACTTGATTACCGATGACCTTCTTCAAGGTCAAAAATGTCCAGACTGCACTAATAGTTTAGAAACGTCAAAATACTCATTATCGTCGTTGATGTATGGGATAAATATGTATTAGTTGCTTAGTGGTTTTCTATTTTGCAGATAGTCGCACTTGCTGCCCTTGTCGCAGTAGCTTTTGCAGCTCCCCAAAGCCAAGCAGACAAAGATGCAGTAGTCCTCAAGTATGACAGTGACAACATTGGCATTGATGGATACAACTTTGCGTAAGTCAGGATTCTTTTTTCCAAATCCATCACTATTCAAATAACCAGAGGATAGGACACATTTTCCATTTACTTTGAAAGCAAGTTGAACGCTTGGACCATATTTTGGATTCTCTATTTCCTTCTCATTTGATGAAATTGTTGTGGTGCTAGCCTGGGTTTAAGTCTAAAAACGTCAGAACAGGGAAGTGCCCTACTTACTACACAAAAGACATAAAGGATAAGGAGTTTTATGGAAAAAATACAGTTTAGATATCTGTTACTAAACCTTACTTTTTTTTATTATTTCTGTTGGTTTTTCTAATAAAAAATCATCGCTTCTTAATGTAGGCTGCAGTTAGAATATCTTGATTTCCTATTTCACTGTACGTATGACGATTTATCTTATATTTGGCGTCAAAACATCTAACTTTTTTATTCAAAATGAAATCCTAAATATGTAGCTTTTGTCAAAAAATCTATAAATTTGAAAATTTAGTGATGTTCCTTGCACAAACACAAAACAACAAATTTTGCTCTCTTTTTAGTTTTGAGACAAGCAACGGAATCTCGCAGCAAGAACAAGGACAACTGCAGAATGCTGGATCAGAGAATGAGGCTATCGCAGTCAGGGGAAGCTACACCTTCACAGGACCCGATGGTGTGACATACACCGTCACATACGTTGCTGACGAAAATGGCTTCCAGCCAGAAGGAGCTCATCTTCCTAAAGCGAAATAGACGAAGTTTGGGTTTCCATTCGTAGGAAATACCTGTTTGATGTTGTACATATTTTTCCTATTAAAATAAAGAAAACTTTGAAATCTGACTTTTTTTGTTTTTTTTCTTAAATGAGCCACGTATTAGTGATAGTTTGCCTAAGCTATATGGATGAGATATGTTGATGCATCTGCATAATTCTCTTTCCAAGTGGTCTAATAAATAACACAGGGGAAACTGATAAATTGAGATTCGACCGTCGGGTTATGTACCTCGAAACCTTGAAATCAGCTGGATACTACAGTTCTTCGATCAGAAGGATATTGAATTCTGATTACGTTTGCTATTTGCATAGTCTTTCCGTTCAGTCTAAACTGTAACAAGACATATCATTCATAATATCTAATTGTATAAGTCAAAATTTTAACGGCTCATATAATAGAACTTCTTGATTGCAGACGAAAAAAGCTCGTAAGCACTTAAAATATTCAATCTGGTCTTAGTACATGCCAGAAATAAATAATAACAGGATTTACTTGCTACCAACTAATAGGAGATAGCTTCCGATAAACAAATACTATGGACGTGGTTGAACTAGCTTGCTGTTGGTGAAGATTGGTGTAGAAGATCTTTGATTCATGCAATGTGGATCAAACAAATGTCTAACCCAGTATTTCTCAAAGTGAGCAATAACCCCCTTGTGGGCGCAAAGTGCTTACGCGGGCCGATAAACAACCCGGACGACATGAAATTGGACGGGGCTAATAAAGATACACTGAGGGTGGGTTTCACCAAGGTTGTCAAATCAACAGTCCGTTATTCTCCACCTACAGGGTAACAGACCGTTAAATACAACGAATAAGCTTAAAGTTCCAATCAACAAATTTTAGCAACCAATAGCTATGAAATGTTGAAAACAAAATACTGTCAAAGTATGAGATGACATCTTGTCATTGAAACATCACCAGCTTATTGAATATTAAGAAATTACATATAATTCAGTCATAATTTAAAGAAATGATTTTTGAATGTTTTAATTACTATTGTTGATTATTTATTCATGCATATATTATTTTCTTCAACTGATATGCAATTTTACTGATTCAACATCACCTCCCGTGTTTTTTTCCTATAAACCTCTTGCAGATAGCCATTAAGCACCTACTTGATGACAGGCTCTATCAAAAAGTTCATAGATATTGCTCGTTTCCAAACATTCATTCATTTACTTGCGTTCATCAGAACCATTATGGCACCTTAGATTGATATTCCCACAAAACCATTCAGGTCTTTGGATATCCACACATCCATAAAGTTGACTACTTTTCGTTATTCAGGAAATAAACAAACATCCACACTATATTCACAGCGATTAAGAAATTCCCAAATATATGCCTTAAAGCTACCAGCAAACCTAAAACCTGCAAAAAAACTACAAATTTGCTATATTTTTCTTTTTTTCACGAGAACACATTCTAGGTTGTATTAATATTACACATTATCTGAATACAGCTGATTATCGCATTTCAAGACTCATCGAGTGACACATGTATGGGATCTGTCAACCCTGGTCCCAGTCACAAAACATATACTCTGAAGAAGGTTTAATTCCATGCTATTCAATGACAACATGGTGACTTATGTGGTTGTCAGCGGCCATTTTGTGAGGGTGCGACATGGTTTCCAGGTTGTGCATTAATATCACATTTCACAATCCTGGTCCCAGTGGAGTAAGTTCCGCTAACTGTTTAAATATACTGTACTATGCTTTATAAGACTATTCGTGACATTTTTCCCAAAATCATTGCACAACACTTGAAAACATGCAAATGAAAATTTAAAATTATTTCCATGACGCCGCAAAATAGCTCCGTCGGTACCTTGGGTTATGTATCTTGACAGTAGGGATGTTCGATACGATCCTATATTTAGAAGTATCAATACATTTCACGAGTATCGTCATCGTCATCAGACATATCATTTTCAAAGAAATTGTACAAAATCTTCTAATTTGTGAAGTTGGCGAGTTTCCCTTTATACGTTGTTACCAGACATGCCCAAATCGGCAGTTGCTGCCGTAATATTCATCCCGACCACTGCATCCCTACGGCTAGGCGACCTGTACGTTAAATTTGTATTGATAGGGCAGCGGGTTATGCTATAAATCATATGTCACAGTGTTTGTGCACTGATTGCAACGGTTAGATGATACCAAAAATATTTTCATAAATAGGAAATCTTTCCCATTCCGGACCGAACAATCTACCAAAGATGCTTATAATCATGATACCTAGTATGTTTTCACGAAAAAAATTCAAAACCAGCAAATGTAAAAGATTCATTTCGCACCCTCCACCACGGGACGTGATCGTCGTTAGACTTGGCAACCCTGCGAGTGACAGATAGATATCCTCGCCAGTCAAAAAGACAAACAATAAACATTACTAGTTTTTATGATTTTTGGACTTAAAAGGCATTATTTGTGAAACATTTTTCATAATCTTTTGTCTATGTCCATAGTAATTGCATTATGCATCAGGGAGATGTAGGGTTTGACACGTCTTACACATATTATTATCTGTGTTTTAGGATGGAGAGGACATAATGTTTTTATTGCTTTGAAGAAATTCATTAACCCACAAATTAATAAATGATTACTATTATGACGTAAAGGAAGATGATTAATTGGATAGAATGTATTTTATATTCTATTTTCTTGCAAAATACTGACTAATCCACACTATTCAACAGGTATGTAATGATAACTTCCAGTATATGTTGGTAAATTCGAGAGTGCCATGCATTAACAAACGTCCAAATCTGCTGCCAAATTTAACAGCTAGAAAATTGACCTATTATTTGCCGCATTCCCATTCGCTGAGGGGGATCACGGATTGTTAAATGTAAACCTATAACATATATCAAAATACATGAAAGTTGTCCTGTTTTTCTCTACAAAAGCATCATGTTTGAATCAAAAGTGGTCTTGTTTATAATACAGTCGAATTTTCACGATTTTATTCAATATTTCAATAGAAATCACTGATATTCAGAGACCTTTGACAGCTTCTGTCAAATTGCATTTCGATAAGGTATTTTGCCATTGGTCCATAATTTTAATGTTGGTGAAATTGGGCCTAAGTCGGTATACGAGTATATGTAAATTAAATTAATTCCGTAGGTGCTACAAAATAAACGGTCATCAAAGTCTATGAAGTGGGTTTTAGAACATCAGGTCTAACCGACTATCAGCCCTTTGTACATCTCCATAGAGACTCGGAGTTGAAGTAAATTCTACTTCTAATTCTCATGTTTGAATATAGAAGCACGATGATTATTTCGCTGTTTACCAGTGAAACACGTTATTTTAAATGAGCAGAAGGCCAAATGATATACCTGCCACTCTTTACGAAACAAGTGCATACAACAGACTCACTAAATAGTTGAAAAAAGCTTCCTCCGATTAAGCACAGAGAGGACCAGCATTGTGAAATTTGCATTGAAAAATAAAATAGACTTCAAGATTATGGATAATTCTAAGATCCAGAATCTAATTCAATTAACATGCTGGGGATAGTTCTTGGTTGGCGACGAGTTTGAATAACATATCCGTTATGGTATTATTAATTGGAGAATCAGTTCAATAACTGAAAGAGCTCTCCAGCTGCAAAAATATATCATTAGAATTATCAATAAGATTCGTTGACAGATACCATTTTAGAACACAAAAGATGATGACTGCTGTAAATATTTACATTTACGAGTTGGCTACGTTTGTCTTAAAAAAATAATCGTCAAAAACCATCATGAATATCCAATTAGGTCTGGTTCTAATTCCACCAAGAAACAAGTAGGTATATGGGATGACAGATTTTAAATAAGCTAAACGATAACATGAGTCAAATATAGCTTTTTTCAAAAGAAAACTAAAACATGTTTAGGTAGTCAAATGACTCTACACCTTGGATGAGTTTTTGGTTAAGATTTATTGTTCATATATCTTTTATCCATCGCCACTGTTTTTGATGACCTTTTCATTTATTGTAGACTTTTCTGTTCTATTCAACAATGAAACAAATTATTGTTATTATTATTGAGCATTCTTGATCAGTAGCGTACATCGTTGAGCTCTAACGGGAGCGGAAAATCACATAGCACCTTGGCATGGTTGTCGCTGTTTGACATATATACATTTTTTCACATTACATAAGGACTGCAAAAAAAATTTAAAAACCAATATGAAAATTTCACAGCTTACTCAGGTGCATATATCGAAAATAAGTTTTCCAACTACACATAAAATATACCGAACAGAAAATCGTATTTCCAGAAGTGGGTCATCTTTATATTCAGAACCAAAATGAGCAACAGTTTCGAGGAGATGCAGATGCTGTTACATCAATAATATGTGAGTCATTTGTTTTGTTTCGATTTTCACCAATTTCATAACACCTCATAATCGTCAACATGAAATGCCAATGTCATACATTCAAAAGTTGTATACTTGGATGTGATCGTTACCATGCATAATCGACATTTTCAGCAATTCATCATTTTAATGTCGGTGTCACATTAGTATAATCAGAACAAACCAAAGCCTTCGGTTATTATTATTAGTGACACATTAGTCTGATGAATGAGGTCGTACGAATATTTAAGGTACATAGCTAGATCAAACTGCAACAGCAGAAAGCATGATTCTGTGTATATAAAACCAATTGACGTTCTATGTGACCATTCGGTACATCCTATCTCCTATGAGCTGCTGCATATTGGATCTATCTATAGAGCCAAATGAATATTCATTGAATGATGATTTTTGTCCATCAACACTAGGTGGAGAATTGCTAGAAACGCCGGTTGTATTTCGGGAACCAATAGAGCTGGGACAGAATATTCGGGAACTTCAATACATGCGAATGCTGAGCGGCATATGAGCTTCAAAACAACTGAATCTCTAAAGTAGAACATATTGTCGAAAAGAGGACAGGTTATTTATTTTCCAGTGCTTATTCTACACACACGTATTGAAAACTGGGTTGAGCACCTCCAGCACTCTAAGAAAAATATGTTACGCTACTAGAAAAACCACCTACTTCATATACCAAGACCTGAGAAAGGAGGTATGCACGTACAGATTCCTTTGTTGGTAATCCGTCCAATACATGTGGCCAGACGTGCACAATAAGATTCATGATTGAGCGGCAGCTGCTTAAAAATGGCGCCTAGCCCCCTTGCGTTGTGACAAAGAGACGGAAATACTTAACGCGTCCTTCAAACATGAGATCCAAGCAAGGATTCCCTCAGTGCATTGAAATCACCGATCAGTTTTGAGCAAGAGGATACCATCCCTAGGTAGTTATTCACGTTCTCAAAAGCGCTTGGCATTTTGATAGCGATAAGAAAAATTTCCAAATCAATGCAAATACGTCCTTGTTTGCTGATCGCTTTGAATGCCGGAAAAAATTACAACGTTGGGCAGTATTGTCGTTCCTAAGAGTGATTAGAGATCTTATAGCGGATGTGAAAAGATCTTCGTTGCGCTTGACGTATCAGAAGTTTCACATTTTATAAACGTTTTGGGAACCATTTTGACATCGGGAATACCTACGCGTCTGGAGCTTTCTCATTTGAGTCCCCAAGATCTTGAATTATCTTTTCACTCAGAATATACTAATACACAGTTTCAGTTGCTTGTCTCATTCCAATCTGGCTTATAACACAGTAGTGTGAAGTGTTGACACTCATATTTTTACTAACATCATACTGAACATGTCAATATTAATACGTACGAGGTCTAATTAACCTAGTTCCGATAGATATGTGTATAACAGCTTTATATTGCTTTCTCATATGACTCGTTCCTTTAATATCCATAATCACACTTATCCTAAAATTGATACAAATTATTAGCAATAACTCATTCATCATGTAAATGTCACATACCTATACATACTAATAAAAGGAACACAAATGTGGAACGATGAAGGCTGCCCGTCATCAAAGATATTGAATATTTTAATTTATGAGACGGGCTTTTGTGAATGAGTTTTTGTTGAAAGATTGTCTGATCCAAACTGAATAGTCCAAGGTACCGTGTGAACTGCATTCAACGATGCTTTGAGATGACTTCTAAGACATTTACCTCTAGGTTGGGAATGCTCTTTTATGTTGAAACTCTTCCATCATATGGTAAGGTCAACAGTAAAACACACAAGTATTTTGAGGTAAAGCTTTGTAAAGCAAGCTGACCGTAATCAAGACAATGGGACACTCGAATGTGTAGGTTGTTGACCTTCTTGGACAGACAATAATTTTCAAAATATTATTGGACACAGTTTGCCAGGTCACTATTAGTATTAGTTAACAGGTTGACGGATCCAACGCTAAAAATTGCAGTTAGAGTGCAAAGAAGTGTAGACACTGTGGTTAGGTGTTGTCAGGCATGGCTTCGAGAAGGCCGTACGCAAAGAGCAAGGGGCACTGGACGCCGCCGTAGAACAACAGACCGTAAAGATCGCCGCCTAAGATTATTGGCCTTAAGGGACCGTTTCTCCACTACCAGGTCCATTGCAAATGAATGGTTTGCAGAACACGGAAGACCAATTGGCATGCGAAGTGTTTACCGACGAGTGAGAAGTTTTGGCTTGTTTTCATACCGGCCACACTGGGTCGTCCCTTTAACTCGAGAACACCGACGTAATCGCTTTGAGTGGTGCAGACAACGGTCACTCTGGGATCAGGAATGGAACAGTATTGTCTTTAGCGACGAGTCTCGATTGTGTCTAGGCATGCACGATGGTCGTGCCAGGGTTAGAAGGCGACTTGGTGAAAGGAGGAATCCACAGTTTTTTGTTGAAAGACATGTTCATCACACTGTTGGAGTTATGGTTTGGGGTGCTATAGCTTATGGTTCCAGGTCACCTTTAATCTTCATCAGAGGTAACATGAACGCGCAGCGTTATATCCACGAAGTTCTAGAACCCCATCTTTTACCCTATCTTGACACCCCGGCAGATCCAACTTTCCAACAAGATAATGCCCGACCACATGTTGCAAGAGTCACAATAGACTTCTTTCAGCATAATGATGTCACATTGTTACCATGGCCACCAAGATCTCCCGAATTATCCCCAATTGAGCACGTGTGGGATATGATGGGTAGGAGATTGCTCAATTTGCAACGTCCTCCTCAGTTTCTAGAAGCACTTCGAGAGGAGTTGGTGGTTGCCTGGAATGAGATACCACAGAAGGACATTGACCACCTGATCAGAAGCATGCCTAGGCGCGTTGGAGAATGCGTAGCACATCAGGGTGCATCCACACATTATTAAAGGTCAAAGGGCTTTAAAGCAGTGCAATCATTTTGAAATTTTTATCATTTACTTATTATGCTTCATTAAGTACTTATACAAAATTTTATTGAAATAAAACCATTTAAACTGGGTGTTCGGATTTATATGTCACTTAGTATATATTGATCTTAAAAAATCAGAAGGAATAATTTTCGTTTTTTGATATCAATGGGAAGGAATTATTTCAAAAATAAAACTAAAAACTGTCTAGTTATCAGAAGCTGGAATTCTATTTTGTAAGATTTATGTGGTAGGCATTTAAATAACAAAACTAATCCGCTTTTGATCATTTGACGCTTCTCGAGAGCAAACTTGGATACGATCTAAACAAGTGGTATTAGCAGGGTTTTCGGTGCTGGAGACTCGCATTTCAAGTTAATCCCATCTATAAATATCAGCATTTGGATATATTTGAGCAAGTATTTTGAGTTTTCATTAAACTTGTTTCTATTATACTTGACAGTTGACATTCCATTTTCGAATATATATACGAGTATATATATATATATATATATATATATATATATATATATATATATATATATCTCGCTAAGAAGCACTCATATTCCAGACAACAAATTTGTAAAACCTAATATCATATGTAATAGATATTTTGTGGTCCATGGAATCCTGTACTAGAACCCGAACATTGGAGCACAGTGTGCCGTAGCACCGTGACATAATGCTAATTTGAGCCATTATGCAACTGATTCTGAATAATTCTCCGACAGAGGAATGGCATTAAGTTGGCGAAAGTTCTTACATTATTTATTAATAAATGGTCAGACGAAGATGCGACTGACTGTTAAAGAAAAAGGACAAGGCCGTCCGCTGGATAACATTTCGATGTGTGTACCTATAAATGTGTGCTGAAGAATGCCAGAGATCCTTCACTCTTGTGCCGGGTATCATCATGTTTTCTGGTATAAGTGATAGGTGGTACGGATATAATAAAAGCGCTAATAAAATGGAATAGAAAAGTAGTATGAGATCAACGTTTTTGAAGTCGACCAGTGATGTGCGTATCATATAAGATACATCATTGTATACGCAAATTTAAAATTGCAATAGTATACGTCTTGATATCCATGTATAGAAGTAGACAATAGCAAATCGTAGTTTATCGGCTGATTAACTGGTTTTTCATAGACCTTACGTTTTAAACATCCCAGTAAAAAAAACAGAGGGTTCAGGTCTGGGGAACTTGGGGCCACAAAATGGGTCCTGGCCAGCCAATCCATCTTCTAGGGAATGTTTCCTCAAGATATCCGCTTGCAGCACTAGTATAGTATGCAGGGTAGCCATCATTCTGTAACAATATCCTTCTTCTTGTCTCAAGAGGCGCATCTTAAAAAAAGAGGAGGCAGATGATGCTGCAAAATATCGAAGTAAATTCAAGTTTTGCCGATTCAGTCTGGTACATTTTTTTACAGTAATTAGTCAAACTTTAGTGAAGGTTTCGCATTGAAACCAAATGTAATAATTTAGACTTTTTGGGATATCGTGCTGGCTTTGAATCTATTGAATACTTGGTGATCTCAACAAAGTGCGAGTATTAATGGTAGCCTAGGAAATAACATAATTTAGAAGTTCTTTATGGCCATAACAGGCAAAAAAGGATCATAAAGTTGTAATTTTTTGAAAAAGCTTAAAAGTGGCAATATCTTGAAAACTATAAAACTTTTACGAAGGTCGTGTCAATTTTATTTGTTTGATTTGCAGCCAATCTACCTACCGTGTCACTTTAACCTTGAAATTAAAGTTGAAAAGGAAAGTCCAGATAACATTCTTTTCAATGTGTCTCACTGTGATGAACATTGTACATTGAAAGAGAACATACATAGACCATTTTTCCCTTAGGAAACTTAGCAATGAACGACCAAAGATAAAATGGCTGAAATATCAGGACCTAATTTCTTTGTGCAGTGGAGAAACTCCTGTAAGAAGATCTCAGGAACATAAGTGATTTTACAGATCTCTTCCACATCAATAAGTCAATATTTTTGTCGTTTTATGTTCTAAAGACAGTTTCTTTGTTAGTTTTTTACTTTTGGTTTATATAAAATAGTTTTTCAGTTAAAGAATTAACAAAAATGTTTACTTCTTCTAATAAAGCTGATACTGCTGGGAGCATTAGGAAACCTACGTTTATTTGTTTGTGATAAGAATTTTTTTTAATTCCCAGATATCCACTTTTCATTTCTTTAAAGTACTAAACTTAATAAATGCTTACTTTTTCGAATAAAAGTTTGATTATCAAGGGTTGTTATTTTGCAAAGGATGTATCTGTTTTAATACAATTAGATTACAGCACACAAAAAGGCGTATCTCAACTTCTCTTGATTGAACACATGAACACAAAATTTAATCCGCAATTTCCTAACCGTTTTCTCACAGCGAGAGTTTCTCTTGAGGCAAAATTTTAAAATTCTCTTCCTGCAAAATACAGATATTTCAGATACGTCCTCTTGTATGCAAGGCGACGATATAGGGGATCATTCGATAGGTTTTTAAGACTCTCTATCACCTGACTTCCATTGATCCACTACTAACTTTACACCCTACATACATTTATTATTATATTGTCATACACACAGTTTGTTGTTAATCTCTATCCTACTTTATATCAAATCCATTTATGTCCAAGTTCACTTTCCGCAAATCGCTACCCAACTAGCAAAGTAGTGGTATAAGCTTTTGGTAAAAGAACCATTCAGCCATAAAAGCTCTCTATTGTTGTTTCCTGAACACCAAAATGCTAACTTAATGTTGTGTGGAATGCAAATTTGCTTTCTGCAACATATTTGCTCTAAAATTAGGTGTTTAAGATATTCTTATAGCATAGTTATCCAACACCTTATAGGGCAAATTTTTAACTGTTGCATAAACGTTTATACAACTATTTTATACGGCATATTTGCACGTAAGTCAGAATGGTTGTGTTGTGGCATCCATGGTAACGTTTATAAAACAAACCCGAGCCTTGTGGTTTTGCTGTGCAATTTACTACTTTAGCCAACAAATTGCTCCCAACGGAAGCACTTATACAACTGTTGTTTAGTAACTTTTAAAGGCTGTACATGTAACCTAACTTTATGCTGTCATATTTTTGTTAAAATGCCATAACCAATGTTTTAAGACAAACAACGCATGCATATTGGTTCAAAAGATTTTATCAACTGTTAAAACAGAAGATATAGATCTGGTACAAATTCTAGGTAAATCATTCGACTCTGTTGGTATTTCATTTCAGACATTTGTCAAATTGTTGTATAACACCTGCAGGTAACACCAAAATATTCTAATAACCTAAAGACAACATGGACGATGCCATGATTATACACAACCACATGCCATATTGGGCAAACATTTATTCCTCTATTTAATATTAAATAATTATGTTTCAGTTTGAAAGTACAGATATAAAGTGATAAACATTAGTGTAGTTGTGTCTAAATATAGGATTTGTGGAAGATTTAATGCAGATAAGTTCAGTTTTCCATCTTAAAAATCTAGACATACTTTTGATCATTATCAAAATATGAATCAAATACGAAGCCCGTAGAAATTGCGTAACTACTTTGCACGATAATCACAATACAATTTGCTGCGCAAGTAATTCAATAGCCCTGTGTCACAGTGTAGAAGTTTATCATATACCTGCGTATGAAGTTCACAATGGCCGATATGTAAGTAAACGAGATGACTATGACTGTAATGTGTTAGTTGTATATTCTTCACTTCGTTTATACAATACATACGAAATAGTTTGGTTACAATAAAGTAGAATCACGTAACAGAATAGTTGTATAGTTGACAAAAACTGAATCTTGCAATGAGGCAAATGTCTCCTATAGCGGCTGCAAGAGGCTTAGCTGTTCTAAGAGGGTTTTGCCAATGTTCTTACAGTATACAATGCTGTGTAATCATTCTTGCAACTGTAATAGGAGTGATAATTGTTAGTTGGGTAGCACCCTCGCTAACAGGATGTTTACGCAAAATGCTTTCACTGCACTCATATGTATGGGAAATTCAATCTGCGCAGAAACTGTATTTTAGACAGTGAATGTAATAGGTACTTCAAATACAGTAGACATGGGAAATAGGCTTATTTCCAGATATCAAAGCGCATTCAGACACGATTACTCAACCTAATGAACGATAACTATCTGTATGCATCCTTTTGGACTGTGAAGCATAGTTAGTGCTATATCACTGGAGGTGGCGCTCCGTCAATTCGTGAAGCCTTAATTAAACCGTTTCGCCATGAAAACAGCTGAATATTTCTGATAATTGGTTCGCACGCACGAAAATGTCAGTAGTGTGGATGCGATCGGAGCCTCGGTATTTGATAGTTGATTTAAATTGTACGGCCGGTTTCGTTATATCATACTGAAGCTCGTACCAAAAAGTTAGACGCTATGTGTCTTCGATTTGCAATCAAAACACTTCATAAGTGAGGACGAGTCCATAAAGTACATATAGATGCAATCCAACGGTAAAATGTACCCACAGCCCACAGGCACTAGAGATGGTAGGATATTTGGAGTCTTTAAGATGAAACGCAATATCTGAAACCCAACGGCATAGTGCCCTTCAAAAGGTTTGCTGAAACACACAAGTGGAACCTCGCAAAGGGTGATGTCGGAAGATTCAGGAGTCGAGACCATATGAATCAATAATTGATTCCTTCCGCAGTCTTGTTCCTTTGCAATGCTCGTTAACAACGATGGTATGTCTGGAAAGCGGAGTCGAGATAAACCGGAATTAAAAGGAATCGTGACCTAATCGAAAGAATCGGTTTCGAGACTGGGATCAAAAAAATGTTTTTAAACTTTGTTAATTCGACTTTTGAAGTGCCTAAGGTTAGTAGAACCGAGAAAACCTCCTCTTGTAGATTGTTGCAGAATCTCGACACGTTAGGGATGAGGAAGCGATCGTATCGGCCAGTTCTGAATGTACCTATGTAGGTTAGGATGGGGGGGCCGCAGTCAGGTGGGTCTGTCTGGCAGGTCCATCGCGCGGCGACAGCTGAGGAACAAAGCCCATCGGTGTAGAGCTAGAGGACAGCTAGATCACCGGCATCCCGCCGGTGCGAAAGGGTGGATTTCACCAGATTTATAGAATGAACAGTCCGTTATTCTCCACCTATAGGGTAGCAGTCCGTTAAGTACAGAAAATGAGCTTCAAGTTCCAATCAACAAATTTTAGCAACCAATAGTTACGAAATGTTGAAAACAAAATACTGTCAAAGTATGAGATGACAGCTTGTCATTGAAACATCACTAGCTTATTGAATACTACGAAATTACGTATAATATGTCGTCAAGCTACCGGCAAACTTAAAACCTGCAAAAAATAGAATTTGCAATATCTTTCTTGTTTCACTGAGTACACGTTCTAGGTTATATTTATATTAGACATTATTTGAATGACAGCTGATTGCAACACTGCAGATGTGCAGATCACTTTAAAACCAATTGATATCCCAGACGTGTTATAATAATAAAAATAAGAAGAAAATATAACAATGTTTACATAAATAAGTATTTTTGATTCAGACGTATAATATCTAGACGATGAATAATAGGTGGATGCGGATACTTTTAAAAATATCGATGTTTTAGGACTCAGAAATGCAGAATGTGCTGTTTGTTTACATTCGGTATGGATCATAAATTGGCAAAAATTTTCCATCATTGTTATGTATTCATCCAGGTTTTCCTTAATTAAGATTTTTGATTTGGCTCTAAGGTCACAGAATATCTGATATGAGTATGGATCATTAAAACGTTTGTATAGTCTATGATACTTATTTTTTCTCTTAACTGTTTGTATTGTTTCAAGTTTAAAGTATATTGGGTATTTTCCTCGAATTTTATATGTTGGTGTAAATTTGTGGATAGTTTCATTGAGTATATTATAGAATATGGCTACAGCTTCATCTACAGATTTGGTACTAAATAATTTTTCCCATTCTATGTCTAAAAGAGTATTATTTATGGAAGTATAGTCGGCTTTATTAAAGTTGTAAAGGCATCGGCTCTGGTGCATTAAGTAAAATATGCTTAAAACAGAATGTAATTGCAGGATGGTGACTATCCTCAGGAACCAATATGTCAACCGAATTCGAAATATTATATATTGAACATTCGTTACTAAGTATCAATTCTAATAAACGGTTATTTGAATTGTAAATTTTATTAAATTGCATTAACTGTAGATACGACAATATGTCAAGTAAGGCACTCGTTTTCTCTTCAACATTAAGTGGCTCCATAAAATGTTCATTAAGTACTGGTTGCCAATTGACACTTGGAAGATTAAATCACCAACCAACAACACCGTATTTTGTCGAAAAAAACCTTCATTCTGGTATAATTTGCTTACAACTGAGTCATATGAAATGCTATCCTTAGGTGGTAAATATATACAGCTTATAAATAATTTGGTACCGTTGATATGTTCAATTGATACCCAAAGATCTTCAGCATCAGATTCGAGTTCACAACAGCGTTTTGAGTTGAAGACATTTTTTGCCGCGATTAACACACTACCACCATCACTTTTTTGTGAACATGAACTCTCACGATCTCTTCTAAATACTGTGTAACCCGCTCCAAATAATTCGCTGCTGCATACACCATCCTTGAGCCACGTCTCTGTCAGGCATATTATGTCATAATCACTTGCACGAACATTACTAAAGAACTCCGTTGTTTTAGATCGTAGTCCCTTGTATTTTGGTAGTAGATGATTAGGTCCTGACATTTGTTATCCATCTTAACGTAGATAGGTATTTTCTACTTACTTTGCTTGTTGACGGCTTATTTGATGTTTTTTAAACCCTCAGTGTCTTTCACAATAATGACACCTGAGGTATCTTCCTTTCTTGCAAAGATCTCGCCATTTTTCGTCCAGACATATTTGTATTGTTTCAGTTTAGCTAACCTTCTTGCTTCTTTATAGATCAACTTATTTTGCATTGTGAGGTGCTCAGTGACATAGAATTCATCAGACACTCCC